GCGGGAGCGTCTTGGAATATGGAGAGCTGCGCTTGCTGACGTGAGAGAATCCCACAGGCCTGGGCCCGTGAAAGCACTCGGGAAGACGGACAAGCCCCGACGCAGCTCTCTGCGGGGGACTGTCCCGAGTGCCCCCACGAGCCTGGGTGTGCAGAGTCTTTTCTCCGTGACCTCGTGGTGGCAGGATGTGGGTCCTGCCTGTGGCATCTCTAGAATGAAGCAGCGTGAGCCTTCGAGTCGTTTTATAGTTCATGATATAAAATCACGTAAACTTCGGGCAGGGTCTTTCCTGTCTTCGGCTAGCCCTCCGGATCGTCCTGTAAGGAGCGAGAGGACCTGTGGCCACTTGCCATGTGTGAGGCAGTGCCGGCTGAAGGTCAGGCTCAGGCACTGGTGGTGGACTTGGGCAGATGGGGCCTGGAATTGGCCCACAGCACTGGACAGGGTCCACAGTGACCTGGAGACAAGGCAGCCAGGTGGGAAGGACCAAGCAGGGGTAGTCCCGAGGAAGCCGAGCGGCAGAAGCAAGGCTGGGCTGGGTCCCAGCGTGGGGGCCACCCGGGTGGTGCTCCTGTCACTGTTCAGCGAGGCCTTCCTGAGCAGAGCGCCCCTCTCCCGGCACCCCGACCCCTGCTCAGCCCTTTCCTCCGAGGCACTTGCTCCGTGTAGCTTGCTCCGTCTTACCTGGTGTTTATCGTCGGGTTGACACGAGGGTGTGAGGTCCCTGCACACGGGATCCTTGTCTGGGTTGCCCAGCCCCTGAGCAGACAGCCCTGTTCAGCAAGTCCTGAAGGACGGAGAGGAGCAGGCCTGCTGCCCTCTCCCACGGGGTCTGGAGGCCACGGTGTAGGGGAGCTGAGGAGGTGATGGGAGACACGCCGCTGGTGGCATCTGAGTGGCCTCTGGATCCTGGCCCCAGGAGTGTCCCTGTGGAAGCTGGAGAGTTTGCAGGAGAACATGCAGAAACCCCAGCTTCGCAGCGTCCAGATGGTGAGATGGTGGCTGAGCCTGGGCCTCGGGATCGGTGTGGTGGGCCCAGGAGCCCAGAGTGGGCGCCTTGTGGTGTAGTTTGCCTGTCAACCTGGAGCCTCGATCAGCGAGGGAGACCTTCACTAATGACCGCTGTGGCCGAGTGCCAGCACGTGCCCGCCTGTTGGCGTTCCTGTCACCCAGTGGAGGGTGCAAGGTGGAAACCCGCTGGCCGCCTCCACCAGGAGCCAGAGCAGTCCTCCTGGTCTGGCGGTGAAGTGCCTGGGCTGAGGGCCTGGGGTTGGAACAGGAGAAGGAGTCATGGCCTCAGGCCATCATCACCAGTGCCCTTCAGAAGGAATCCCTGGCTCCAGATGGAACCTGAGATTGTGTTTGTCAGTGTTAACCCATAGACGGGGTGGTGTCCTGGCCCAGCAGCCCGGGAGCCCTGTCGTCCACTGTGCCGGTGTCTCACTGCTCCCTGGAGCTCCGTCCTGCCTGGTCAGCCCCTGGCTGAGTCTCAGGTGTCACGCCTGGCCGGCTACTCCAGCTACTCCAGTAGGGCAGAGGAAGTGAAACCCACAGGAGGCCCGCTCCAGCAGGCAGTGGAGAGAAGCCGGTGGTGCTTCAGACGGATTCTGCAGCAGGAGGCACCCACGCTCCCTCCAGGACCTGTGTGCCCCCGGCTGACTGTCTCAGATGGGGACCCGTCCCTGCACTTAGCTGCCAGGCCAGGTCAACCCTGCCGGGGCTGAGAGCTCTCGGCTGTCACCAGCGCTCCTTTACAGTAGTTCACTTACTGCGACCTGTCAGCCATCTCTGATTTAAAAAGAAACCAACATTAAATAGGATATCTCACCTCCGCGAAACCAGTAAAAGCTTTCTTATCATTACATGGTGGGATTACATTCTAGTAACTTTCTAAGAAAAAACCTGTTTTAGGTATAACTTTTAAAATCTGATTGTCAGATGTCTTTTAAACACATTCTTAACAGGTGAAATGTTCTTAGGTGTAAGGTGCTTACTGTAACTACAACTGCTCCCTCGACCTGAGTCCTTGAGCATGTCAGAAGGTCCCTGCATCTGTAAGAACCCGGAGTCTGATGATGCTGTTTGACGAAGCTTTTTGATGTGAAGTAGTCAGGTCCCTTTTGAATATGACAGGGAAAAGCACTGACCACCTTCGAGGAGCTGTTTTCTGTGATAGTGACCCCTCCGGAGGGGGACTCGTAGGTCAGAGCTCACGGTGGTGCGTGGTTGAAGGAGCAAGGTGGCCGCTCTGTCCCAGCCTAACTTCCCCCACAGGGACAGTTGGCTTTTTTGCTGATTCACCTGTGTGGGATAATTGAGCAGCAACACGTCCAGCTCCGTCCCTCCGCCTCCTGGGCCCCTTCTGCACCAGCGCTGTGTCGAGGTGCCAGCTGCTTCTACCCTGGCATTCTGTAGGGAGAGTTTGGAGCGCTGCGTCTGTGAACCAAGTTCCCATCAGAGCTTTGATGTCACGCGGAAGCCAGCCAGCCAGAGCTGGTGACGGAGCACAAGTGAACGTGCAGCGTTTTTAAGCATTTCTTGGGTAAAGAGGTCACTTTTTAACAGTCGTATTGTACGGCTAAGTGAGGACAAGCTTTCCCTGGTGTGAAGTTTCACATCGGCTGGCTCCAGGCGAGGCTGTGACGTGGACTCGTGGCCTGGCCTCGCCCTTTCCTACCTGCTGCATTCCCACTTGAGCCCCAGCATCTGTGGGGTGTGCCCTGTGAAGAGAGCCGGGCTGCAGGTGAGGAGCTTCGACATGTATCTATACCCTGCAGCCTCTGGGTGCTCGAGGATGAGAAAGCCGAACCGGTTCCCACTGGAGAGCTGGTGAAGCTAGTGTATCCAGCGGTATTCACGAGAACGTCTTTTGGTGGTGTTTGGCTTTTCCTTTTTTCTTGGTGGTGCCGCGATCTGAGTCCTCACAGTGCTTTACTACGCAGGCTCTTCCGCCGACTGCGCCCAGGTGCTCACAGCAGTTCTGTTCCCTGCTTCCTAAGTCTGCGTAGTTAAAGCTGGAGGGGACCCAGCTGGTGGAGCTGAGCTGAGGCTGGAGCCACGTCTCCTCCAGACAGCGAGGGCCTGGGGAGGTCACAGCCTGCCCTCTCGACAGCGTGAGGGGAGCCCGACTGGGAAGAAGCCAGGAAACAGCTCCCCGAGCTGGGAGCCAGGGGAGAGCTGGCCTTTCCTCCTCTGGCTGGGAGCTACGGGCCCTGGGCCCCCAGCCATCCCCGGGGTCTGGGGAATGATGCAGTGGTGCAGCGGGTGACCAGGGGCCAGTGTGATGACGCTTGTGGAACTTGTGGAACACTGTCAGCCAGCTCTCCCTCACGGTGACCGAGAACCTGATGGGGTCAGCTTAGCAGGAGGAGGGGGCATTTCTGCTCATGGCCCAGGGCTGCTCAGCTCTGTTGCTGTCACTCCGGGGTGCACGGCACCTCACGGAGGAAGCCTTCCGTGTCCCAGGAGGCACAGTGACCTCATGACCACAGGGAAGCAGGGGCACAGGTGGGGTCAGGTCCAGCAGCCCTCAAGGGCAGCCCATGGCCTGACTTCCTGCCTGAGGCCCACCGCACAGAAGCCCCACCACCTCCCAGTGGCACCTCGGGCTGGGGACCAGGCCTCTACACGTGGCTCTGGAGGACATTCAAGATCCCCTCAGGGCTCTGATGCTCAACACGGAAACAGCACCATGTGGGGTGTTAGCAGGACTGTCAAAGAGGAGCTGTGAGCTCTCGGGGGTCAGCGTTGACTTCCTGCCCAGTGCAGTGCAGTGGGAGGAGCACCCCCTTACTGAAACTCACTCGGTAACCTTTAGAGCCGTGTGTCCCCTCCGTGAGAAACAGGGGTGGGCTCCTGCTGGTCGCTGGGCGTTGGGCGGGCGATGTTTTGAAGTGTCCACCAGCTGTGTCCTACCTTCTATATTATCCTTTCGACTGTGACCACAGAATACATGCTGAGTGTCATGCACAGCTGTCCTGAACATGGGTGCAGATTATATTACAGTTGTCCTGGTTTATAACTATCTTTTTAACAGTGCCTCAGGCTGGGTCGAGGTGTGGCTCAGCGGGAGGAACGTCCCAGGGGATCCACGTGCAGTGGCCATGCTTATGATCCCAGCAACTCAGGAGGCTGAGGCAGGAGGATCGCAAGTTCAAAGCCAGCCTCAGCCTTAGTGAGACTGTGTCTCAAAATAAAACATAAGGAGGGGGACAGTAGTTAAGTGCCCCTGGTTCAATCTTTGGTACCAAATAAGAGAAGAACAACATCACAGTAAGTGACCACAGACCCAGTCCTACAGCGTGTGTGCCTGAGGTGCAGACCTGGTCAATTCTGGAAGCGGTGGCCACCTTCTCCTTCAAGGGGTAACGGGCTTCATCTCCCTGCGTGGAGCCTTTACCCCCAGCCTAACGGTATTATTGCGTGTCAGGCGTTGGCTAGTCTGATGAATAACACAGCTCACATGACTTTAAACTGTGTTTCATTATCTAACAGAAGTTGGACATCGTACATGTGAGTCGTCGTGTTTCCTTTTCAGATAATCACCTGCTGGTGTTCCTGGCTGTTTCTGTTGGCCCGTCACATCCCTGTTCAGGAATTCGTAGCAGATTAGGCCTTGGCCTGGGGTGCGCATTATAAATGGTCTCTATTTCTCTATTATCCTTTCGACTGGCTCCTGACGGTTTTTCTTGCCCGTGCAGACAGAGCTGTAGGGTTTTATCTAGTTGGGTTTATCGTTCTTGTGTAGATTCCGTATTTTGAGACGTAGCTGGGCCCTCCTTTTCTGAGGTCATAAGGAAGAAACAGTTCCTCCTGATGCTTTAATAGCTTCATGTTTGACACTGATGGCTTTGATGCGTTTTCCTGGGGTGTCATGTACAAGTATGGGATCGAGTGTTGTTTTATTCATTTTTTTTTACTTATTGAAGCCCTATCGCCCGGTTCTCCTCAGCCAATTAATGATTCTCCTAATTAATCTTTCCTCTTAATGACTTTTCAAGGTCCAAGAAGTTGTCTGCTCTTGCGGAAGCCCTGAGAGAAGTCTCCCTCACCAAGGGGCAGCTGGGGCTGGAGCTGGAGGAGCTGGAAGCTGCGGCCCTTCTCGTCCAGGAGGAAGAAGCTGCCGGAAACGCAGCCCGCTCGCCCAGCGATTCCGGGGGGTCGGGATCTTCTGACTCTGAAGACTCGGCCTCAGAGCAGGACGAGCAGGCAGAGCGGCAGCGTGCGCCCGAGGATTCTCCACGGGGCCCCTTTCTGGAGAGCGGTGCCCCACTTCCTGCTGGTGGCGGGGCAGTCCTGAGGTCCACCGTGGGTCAGGGGGCGCTGCTGGCCGCTCCCCAGGAGCCTGCAAGGCGCAGGCCTCTGATAGAGGAGCTCGGCGACCATCTGAGGACGACCCTGCAGATTTCCACGTCTCAGGGAGCTGACGCAAGGAGCCACTGCAGGACGCAGGACGGAGACGGGCAGGCGACGCCGGGGACTGACTCGGGCCAGGCGTTCTTTGCAGGGAGTTAGGTCGGGGTGGGCGCCTCTCCTGAGCTAGAACCCTCCGTGGGCTTCCAGGGCTTGGCACTTTTCCTTTGTACATACAAAATTGTTCTTAAGTGAGCTGATTTTTATACATATTGGTCTCTTTGTTGCTTCCTGAAAATTAAAGTTCTGAAGTGTTATAACTGAAGTTCAGCTGATGTCTAAGGGGAACAGGGGTCCTGCCGCTGGCCTCTCGGGAACATCAGTGCCCTCCGCTCCGTCGAGGACCTCGTGTTCCCGTTGCGCAGCGTGCTGAGTCACCACAGTCGGGGCTTCCCGTCACCTCTCGTATCCTCCAGCCTGTGTTGTCCTGGCCTCCCCCGCAGCCAGCACCAGCGACCACTCATGTGCCCTCCCGCAGCGCTGGGTTCCCTGGGCTGTCCTCGTGCAGCACGGCTGGCTCTCGGCCAGGCCTCCCCTCGCAGCTGCCTTGATGCTGACCCCCGTGGCAGCAGGGCCAGGAGCTTCCGGGGGCTTTTCCTCCATTGCTGACGACCGTGTCGGTGAACGGCTTGCTCCTCTCACCTCCTGTGAGTGTCCGAGTCATTCCCAGTTTGGGGCTGTTAGAAACACAGCTGCTGTGACGGTTGTGCTCAGGCGAGGTGTGGACAGAGCTCTCGTTTCTCAGGTAATCATCTGGAAGTGTAGCGGCTGAGCCGTCAGGAGGTTGTGCCCCATGACATTTCCAGGGCCCGTGAGCAGCTTTGCTCACAGCTGGCCATCTGCTGTCCTGGCAACAGGACCGGAGTCCAGCTCCTCCCCGGGCTTGCCCTCACTGGGTGCGGTCCACTTGAGCCACATCCCATTTCCTTTTCTTTTTTCTTTTGAGAAGTCTTGCAGACTTTCCAAGGCTGGCCTTGAACCTGCGGCCCTCCTGCCTCGGCCTCTGAGTTGCCGGGACCACAGGCTGCGTCCCCTCACCCTGCTCCTGCGGCGTCGGCTCTTCTCCTGACACCTGGGTGGTGGCGTCTTTTTGAAGTGTCTGTGGATCTTCCGCCAGTTTTCTTTTGAAGACAGGTGCTTTTCTCGACTCTGTCTTGGGGGTCTCCGTTAGTGGGTCGAGCGTCCTGCCACTTCGGGTGCCTTGGTTTGGTCGTATCTTGTGGGTGCTGGGCCTGGACTCCTGCAGCTGTTCCTCACCTTGTCTTGGGTGCCCCTTGGTGGCTTGCTGTGGTGTCCCCCCTGTGTGCCTGGCCTTGGTGGTTTGCTGGGTGGGTCTAAGGCGTGGTGCCAAGGACGTTTTTCCTGGAGGCTGCCTCTCCTGAGTGTCCTCCCTGGGCCCTTCCCCTCCGCCTGTTGGTCTCGGGTGGTCTCGCCCCGCCTGGTCTCACTGTGCTCTTGAGGGCTGCAGGGCCCTCCTGTCCCCTGCCCAGCCCTGCCTCCTCTCCCTCCAGCTACCCGTGGTTGTCCAGGCCGCCCTCTCCTCCCTGGGCCCTGTCCTGGTCCCTGCGGGCCCTCAGCTGTGTCGTGAACTTCGGGGTCCACCGGGTTCTGCCTGGACTGTCCCTCCTGCCTAGGCTGGGGTCCTTCAGGGCAGTGCGTGGGGCCTTCACAGGGGCCCTGGGTTCCCTCCCCCGTCCCTCGCGTCAGTCCTGCTGATCTTCAGTGTGGTGCCCACCACTGTCCTGTGCGTTCCCTGTTTCTTTTTAGGCTGTGCCTGTCCAGGGAGCCCATCTGGCCTCCGTCACTCCACCTGGACCGGGAGCAGCGTCTACAGCCGCGTCTCACCTCTCTGTCCCCTCTGAGTGCAGGCTCTCGGGAGGCGGCCGTGTCGCACTTGTCACCAGGAGCCTCAGCACCGTGCTCTCTGTGCGCCATCGGCGTGCGGTGAGTGAGCTGACCGAGTGGAGCAGCTTTGGGGAAGAGAGGACCTGAAATCTGATACGCTTTGATCTCAGCTGCATTTTTATTCCAAGAAAGGGTTGGATTGAGGAGGACTGTGAGGGTCTGTGTTTCTGGTAAAATCCCAGCTGGCGTTAACCTGGTAGTGGGCGACGGTGCCACTTGACGTGGGTGTTAGCGCCTGGACCCACCAACAGCATGGTGGGACGTGTTCCAGACGCGGCCTCCCTGGAGAGCAGCAGGTTGCTGTGGCCATCGAGATGGTGTCTCTCCTCGGCAGAACAGTCCCTGGGGACAGTCTGGAAGGCGCCATCTGTCACTGCAGTCATTTGCTCCTATAAAGCCCCGCAGGTTGGGCCGATCCCGCCTTGCCTCAGAGTTTCAAGCGGTGGAAATTGTCTTCCTTCCTCAGTTTCTGTCCTTAGGAACCTCGATGGGACCTGGTTCAGTGAGACTCGTCAGAGAGAAACTCCTTCCTCAAACCATGGGCAGGTGTGATCCTTGTCTGGCTTCCCACGGCCACAGGGTTCCGCAGGCCACTTGTGGTGGTAGGGACGACGCGCGAGCTCCCAACCTGGGCTCCGTGTCTGTGGCGGTCCCCCTGTTTGCTGCCTCCCACTCCCCGTCTGTCTGAGCCTCTGTGCACACTGCGGCTTCACTCTGTGACCCAGAGCACGCTCACAGCTGCTGCCTCTCGTTTTTATTAAAGTCGACAACCCGCCAGGCAGCCCGGGGCACCTCCTGTGCCCACCTGAGTCTCCCTGGTCCCTGCTGACGGGGGCGAGCAGGGGACGATGGCTGAAGAGCAGGGAGGCCAGCTGTGACGCCTGGGTGCAGCTTGGCAGGGAGAACCCAGGCTTGAGGTGGGCAGGACAGCGCTGAGTCCAGCAGGTGTGACGGCCCAGGAGGGCGGGTGGACACCAAGCCCCAGGCCTCGCCCTCCGTCTTGAAAATGGGAGTAGGCCTACAGTCAAGGGTCACCAACGAGGGGGCTCCACTCTGAGAAGTGTGGGGCTCCACAGGCGATGTGTCATGGCCTTTGGGACCACGGTGGTGCGTGCAGTCCACTGTCGGCCAAGACGCCGTAGGACAGGGCATGAGTGAGTTTTGCTGCTTTTCTTGCTGGCCCGTGAGACTGTGTTCAAATGCACGTGGTGAAGCAGCGCAGGGGGTCATCGGTGTCCACCGCCCCAGAGCAGAACAGGACACTGCTGCTCCCTCACAGAGGCACCAGCCGCAGGCAGGCAGGCCGGTGGTGGAAGTCCACGGGGCTCAGCGATTACCTAGAAATGTGAACCCTCGTCACGGTTGGCTCATCGCCCACCTCTTCCATGTCCTCTTGCCTCTCCCGGGGTCCCTGAAGACTAATGGGCCACACTGTTGGCGTTGCAGGAGCCCTAACTCAGCCGGTGTCATCTGTCACTGGCACAAGACGGATTTACCAGTCAGACAGGCTGCTCCTTCCACATGGCTGACAGCTGGGGGCGGTTTGCCCACCTGCTGGTGAGAAATCCACTGTGGTCCTGTGGATCAAATTCTGTTACCAAGAACTGAGGGAGAGAGAGAAAGTCAGGTGTCTTAGGCCTGAGACTATGGAGTCAGTACTTTATAACAGGGACTTCCACCGAGCTGTCCTGCGGAGAGGGATTTTTAATTTTAGATATTACCACTAGACATGGTCTTGCATAGTCACAGTGACAAAACAGAGACCTCTAAAGGACATAGAAATGAGACGATGACTTAATACAGGAGTAAAAGTCCACCTAAAAATACACTAGTCCTCGGAACACATTATAAAATGTTGAAAGACGCAGGAATCTCCCCAAATAACCATCTGCCACAGAAGTCCCCGCACGCCAGATAAACAGAAGGTGCGCTTCATAAACACAGATCTCTGATCGTTTGGCCAGGGACCCGGAGAAAACCCATCAGAGATGGCAGGTGTTGCCCAGGTGGAAGTTTGCCGTGGGATCCCCTCCGCCCCGCCCGCCTTCCCGGTGGGTGATCTACGGCCCCAGCCTGTAGCCAGTGGAGGAGGCATCGATGAGGCTTGATTTAAGGCAGCCGGTGATAAACGCAGCAGGGAGGCTGACGGACGTCTCCAATGACGGGGGCACGGCAGTGGACGCCGACAGCTCGTCTCCAGACTGGAGAACACAACAGGGAAACGCGTGTCGGCCAGATCAATGGCTTTGCCGTTTCCGACTCTCGCGGAGGCCATTCGTTTCTGAGATAAGGAAGGCTGCTCTCCAAAGTCACGGGAAGATAAGCTGCAGAGGGATGGCTGTGGGCGGGGACCAGGCACAGGGACGCAGCAGGAAGGATCTGCTCCTGGGAAGGGCTCACGGGGGCCACACTGCTGCCACCTGGTACTGAAAGTGTCCTCAGTGGCCACTCTTGTCTTGGAACCTATTTCCAGGGCGACCATTAGGACTGGTTCTGTGGGAGTGACATCGGGGACGGCTAGCTGGAGCCTGTGTCCCCTGAACTGGTCCCAGTTGTTGCTGATCTTCGCAGTTTGCTACTCCAAGCAGCGAGGAGAAGTTACTAGATCACGCGCTCAGCGCCCGGCAGCAGGTGGCTCTCAGGACCGCCACTCAACGGTGCGCCCACAGCCGCTGCTTCCTGGGCTCTGCCTGCGCTGCCGTGATCCACGTCGACCTCGTCCCGCTGGACGGACACCACTCCACCCTGCAGCCGCCGACTCTCTCGCACACCCAGGCTCGCTCGGGGCCAGTGGAGGGGCTCGCCGGGTGTCCACGCTGGACCGCGGTGGCCTGGTGTGCTGGCTGGCCGTCGCAGTCACTGACCACCCCTGGAGCGGGGACAGAGTCTGGAGACTTGGGAGATGAGGCTGGAGGACTAACCCAGGGAGGTGGCCGCTCCCCTGTCCCCAGCCCCAGCGCAGCCTGAGACTAAGAAGCATCCTCAGAGTGAGTCCACCTGCCGCAGCACCCCACCTGGACTTGCAGACGCAGACTCTGGGCCCTGTCCCGGAGTTGCTGGATCAGGGGCTCCAGGGGCACCTGCCTTCTGCCTGGAAACAGCAGGGGTGCGCTGCCTCCTAGGAGCTCACAGTCCACAGGAGACCACCTCCAGTGTGGCTGTGTCCCTGTCCCTCCCCGCAGCCCCAGCCTCCTCCGTGCACAGCGGGCTCTCTGAAGAGAACCTCGGGGGCTGGGCGTGCGGCTCAGTGACACAGTGGCTCAGTGGCACAGTGGCTCAGTGGCACAGCGCTGCCCACCTGCACCAAGCCCCAGGTTCCTGAACAGCAGTGAGCCCGCAGCTCGGCTTCCCACTG